TCCCCCACACCCATTTCGGCACACCCCTCACACGTTTCGTGGCTCCATAGGGAGCTCCACCGAAGGCCCCAGTGCCCGCGGCCGCATGCGTCCCCCACACGCATTTCGGCACACCCCTCACACGTTTCGTGGCTCCATAGGGAGCTCCACCGAAGGCCCCAGTGCCCGCGGCCGCATGCGTCCCCCACACCCATTTCGGCACACCCCTCACACGTTTCGTGGCTCCATAGGGAGCTCCACCGAAGGCCCCAGTGCCCGCGGCCGCATGCGTCCCCCACACCCATTTCGGCACACCCCTCACACGTTTCGTGGCTCCATAGGGAGCTCCACCGAAGGCCCCAGTGCCCGCGGCCGCATGCGTCACCCACACCCATTTCGGCACACCCCTCACACGTTTCGTGGCTCCATAGGGAGCTCCACCGAAGGCCCCAGTGCCCGCGGCCGCATGCGTCCCCACACCCATTTCGGCACACCCCTCACACGTTTCGTGGCTCCATAGGGAGCTCCACCGAAGGCCCCAGTGCCCGCGCCCGCATGCGTCACCCACACCCATTTCGGCACACCCCTCACACGTTTCGTGGCTCCATAGGGAGCTCCACCGAAGGCCCCAGTGCCCGCGCCGCATGCGTCCCCCACACCCATTTCGGCACACCCCTCACACGTTTCGTGGCTCCATAGGGAGCTCCACCGAAGGCCCCAGTGCCCGCGGCCGCATGCGTCCCCCCACACCCATTTCGGCACACCCCTCACACGTTTCGTGGCTCCATAGGGAGCTCCACCGAAGGCCCCAGTGCCCGCGGCCGCATGCGTCCCCCACACCCATTTCGGCACACCCCTCACACGTTCGTGGCTCCATAGGGAGCTCCACCGAAGGCCCCAGTGCCCGCGGCCGCATGCGTCCCCACACCCATTTCGGCACACCCCTCACACGTTTCGTGGCTCCATAGGGAGCTCCACCGAAGGCCCCAGTGCCCGCCGCCCGCATGCGTCACCCCCACCCATTTCGGCACACCCCCCGCATTTCTCGCACGGCAGGGTCATCACCACGGTGGCGTGCCAGGGACGCACCGTGCGCGAAGGCGACGGGGCGGGGGAACGGCGCTCCGGGGGCGGTCAGACCTCCGGGGCGCGAGCAGTCCGCGGCCAGACCATCTCTCGGTCCTGTGGACTCTCGCCCTGGGCCGTCGGCTGCCCGGCGCGCTGCTCCCTCGGTCGACGTCGCCCAGGCGTGATCCTGGATTGCGGCCGCCACGAGGTAGGGAACGGCAAGAAGGAGGACGACGACTGGTGGCTGGAGCTCTACGTGCTGCTCTCGCGCGCCACGCGCCACGAGGACCTCCTGCTCATGCGGGCGCCGCGCATCGAGTTCTTCCTGGCAGGGCCGCCGCAGGGCTTGCGGAAGCAGCTGGAGCAGTTTGCGGCGCGCACGAAGCGGTGCAGGAGGGAAGCGACGGCCCTCGCCAGGGAGCTCGGCTTCACCGAGTTCATCCGCGAGGCCTGACCTGAGGAGCGTCTCCCCCGAGCCGCGCCTTCTCTCGACTGCCCGACTAATTGTTTGGCCTCGCGCCGCGGACGACCCGCGCGCGTCGCTGGGACCTTCTCGGGGCGACCAGCGCGCGTCGCGGGAACTCCGTGCTGCGGGGGGCCCGGCGCCTCGTTCGCCCGTCGTCGCTCTGCCCAGCGGTCAGAGACTGGCCCGCTATCAGCCAGCCAGTTAGCTAGTCAGCTCTCTCTGCTTCGCGCAGCGGACGATCCGCGCGCGTCGCTGGGACCCCGCCCGGGGCGACCAGCGCGCGTCGCGGGGACTCCGCGCTGCGCTGCGCCCGCAGCCTTGGATTTTGGAGTGCGCGGGCAAAGAGGAAGGAAAAGAAGAGCCGAAAGCGGGCGCGATCCTCGCAAGAGGCGTGCCGACATGGGCGTCGCGACGTGCGGACGCTGCCGTCGGGGTTCCCGCGGAAGCTGCCTGCGGCGGCCACGCCCAGTGTCACGTGTGTTCGGACAGGCATGCTCGACACTTACACTAGGCGGTTCCATGATCGCATTCATGCAAATATATTCACCGCCGGGGACCGCCGCGGGGCCGCCGGGGACCGCCGCGGGGAGCCGGGGTTTCGCCACAGAGCTCTGGGACAGCAGCAGCAGCAGCCAAGCCAGACATAGAACGACCAGCGTCAGGCCTGCCCATGCCACGAACATAGCAAGGAACAGTCATACGAACGGGGTGGGGAGCAATGCCGCACACGCGTGACCGACAGCGTACCAAGCCAACAACTGTCAACCATCCAGCTGCCTGTGGCAAACTCCGCCACCGCGCCTGTGTAATAACGCATCAGGTAGGACACTGAGTGTATGAGCGGCGCAAGTCACACGTGAATTCGTCATCGTTTTCGTTCGTGCAGAAAGGGGGAGGTCGAGTTCACACACCGCTGCGGTTCAGCGAGCGGTCTGAATTGAGGCGGGTCGGGAACTCGACCTCATCCGCGTCCGTGCGATAGGGATGAGGAGGAGAAGGAGAACATGAAGACAATGAGGAAAAGGCTTCTGAGGGGCTCTCTTGGGGCACCCTGGGATCCTCCTGGGAGTTTCTTGGAGCCTCTTTGGCGTCTCCTGGGGCTTGTTTGGACGTCTTAGGCGGCTCTTGGCCCACCTGACGCCTTCGGATGCCGTCTTGTGTTCGCGCCTCCTTAGGGAGCGCTTTCGTGCCGCCTTGGGGCTCTCTTGGGAGGCTCTTGGGGGAGGAGGAGGAGGAGGAGGAGGAGGAGGAGGAGGAGGAGGAGGAGGAAGAAGAGGAGGAAGAAGAGGAGGAGGAGGAGTTGGGCCGACTGGAGGCTCTCTTTTGTGCATCGTCGGCTGTTCTCTCGGAGGCCTCTCCTGGAGGGCCTCTCGGAGTCCTCTTGGAGCCCTCTCGGAAGCATCTCGGGCCGCCTTGGGGCCGTCCGAGAGCCTCTACAGTCGGGGCCCTGAAGAAGGAACCCTTTTCGTTGGGGAGGGGCTCCTCGTTCCTTATTTTGGGATCCTTAGGTCAAGCCCCCGACTGTAGTGCCGCCTGGAGCAATCTTGGGCCGTCCTGGTGTCATCTCGACTGTCTCGGACGCCGTCTTTGGAGCCAGCCTCGCGCCTGCCCCGACTGGAGGCCGAGCAGATCGCTGGAGGGCAAATGCCCCGGGGGAGGGGGGGGCGGTGTTCGAACGACGTGTGCCAGTAGGTAGGTGTTCTGCCCCAGGAAACGTTTAGACACCATTCAGGCAACAGACGAGCATTCTAACACGACTACTCCGTGCATGCACGGCGGCGGATAACGGGTGAACGCGGCACGCATAATTGACACATTATTCACACAAGCAGTGCCAGACGACACGTAGCATACGCCTCGCAACCTCACGTGCATTGATAGACGAAGTGATTGACGGAATTCCCATGCTACCTGGCAAAGCAGGACACGTGCTATGACAAGTTTCACGCAGTACGTGCAGCCAAGCGTGATCGATGACGCTGTCAGTAAACTTGATGTGTGGCGTGCGGCTCGTGACAACTGGCAGCGGCAGACATGCCAGTGCATTGGCGGACGATCATGTTACACACAGGTGAGCCTTGTCGGGGAACGGTTGAGCGAGGTTACCGAACTCGACAAGGCCCGCAGACGTGACAGCCGAGCACGGCTTTCGAGCAGTAGCAGCACAATTCGACACATGCCAGAGAGACCGCATGACATGCGAACGCGACAAGTAGTACCAACATGCAGTGTGGCAGTGGCCAGCAAAACGCGACATATCCCAGTCATCACGTGACATAATAACCTGATATTCCAAAGTAGGGCGCAGCATTTATACGACAGTTGATACGCACGCGGTCCCTTAATGTATTTCTCAACACCGGCATGCCAATGCGGTTGACATCCGTTTGATGGTCATATAATGCAATTGCGGCATCGCGCAAACACGACTCATTCGAATGGGAATCAGACATGCGCAGTCGGGCCACAAGATGTCAACGCGCCAACAATACGCAAATATGCAACCTCGGAGGCAGCACGCACACACATCCCCTCGATACCGAGGCACTAAGTAGTGGACACGTGGCTTGCAAAAGCGACAAAAGGCCAGATCCTACGGCGACACCAGCACAAAGCACGTGACATAAACCAATCAATTATGAGAGGGAGCCTCCCGAGACGACTTGCACACGCGCATGGCAGAAGGCAGCGTGGGCAGCGTGCGCACGACAGGAGGGCAGTAACGCGCGCGCAGTCCCTCGCAGATGAGATGGATGACGCGCACGGCAGGCACTTCGGCGGGGGCTGGAGAGGGAGGCGATAGTCTGTTTCGTTGGAAGGGGCTACCCCCGTGCCCCTGGAAGGGCCAGCCGACCACGGCTGCAAGCGGGGGGGGTATGCTGATGACAGTCTGGAGAGGAAGAGGAGTGGGGGGAGGAGAATGCGACGAAGGAGGGAATACTTGAATAAGAGGAGCTGTATAAACTTACACTTGTGAAGGTCCTCGCGGATGTATTGGATCTGCGCCGGACCCCAAGAGGAGGAGGGGCGGAGGATCGACGATCGATGCTCGAGGTCCAACAGGTCGGAGGTTGGCCGGGCCCCCACCCTGTGAAGTGGATTCGTAAATTTGTTGTTCGGGTATTCGAAAGGATGCTGCGCCCTCAGTATTTTTGGGCCTGCATCCGCCAAGTCTGGTCCCGGGTCGTTCTCACAAGAAAGAGTGGTTTGCGCACGGGGGTTCTCTGTCCACGCCCGAGTAATGTTTGCTTGCCTATTCGGGTGATCTGGGGTGCCGTCGTGCCCACGACCGGATCCGTTTTCAGTTTTTTCGCTTAAAGCGTTCTTGAGGGCAGATTCTGAACCAATGTCTGCAGTTTCTCCAGGGGCTGTCTGAAGGTTTGCCACCTCCTCCGCAGGACATCCGAGTTGTTTTTTCTTGTCAGCGCGCAGGCCCCAGGGAATTGTTTTTCCAGGGACTGGTTCTCCGTCGCAGGTCCTTGTTTTACGACCCCCGCGTCCGATAATGGCCCGCCCGAGCCACAGACAGAGAACTGCGAAATATGCATCATTGCGTTTTTCAAGACGTCGGACATGTGGGGCCTGCCAGCCCCTTGCCTTCACCTCTCGCTCCCTTCCCATGACGTCTCTCCGACTCCGTCTCCCGCCCGCTTGCGCCCAGCGGTTGCTGTGGATCCTGGTGCAGGAGGGCGTGCAGATGAACGTGGGGAAGGGAGTTCGTCTGGAGGAGTGAAGCATCAGCAAGAGAATGGCGAGGGAGAGAGAGAGAGAGGTCGTGGAGGAGGAACGGAAGAAACAGGAGGAGGATAACGACGATTGTCCTGCTACTTCGCAAGGATTAGGACGCCTAGGATAAGGCTTGATTGCAATGGCACATGCCTGCTGCATTGCCTGCAGTACTGTGCATATGGTGCGTGTTTCTACTTTCACCATCCGTGCCCAGACCTGGGACGACTCGAACACGCGGCAGGGGTCTGTTTACCTCTTGGACCTCGGGACCTTACGTTGCATCTTCGGGGGACCTCGCCTGTCCCCAAAATTGGTGTCTTTTCTTGTACCCGACGCGGGCTCGATGCAGCCTCGACACGGATTTAGCATGTATTCGACGCGGTTTCGAACCGGATTCGACACGGATCCGACGAGGCCGACATGGATTCGACACGGATTCGACGCAGATAGGGCCGCGACGGGACAGACAAGGTTCCCCGAGGATACAACATAAGGGACCGTCAGAGACAGCTCGAGGAGAAAAGCTGTCTCAGGGAAGGGGTGGAGAGCACCAGGGGCCAGACTCGCAAACATCGCGTCGTCCGAGGTCGGGGGAGGTGGGACTGCTTGCTGCCGTGGTGCACCTGGCCACTGACACGGGCTACGCAATCTGGCAGTCCAGGTCATCATGTGCTTTCCTGTAGCCTTCTCCTGGCCAGTTTACGCGTGTTCGCGTTCATCCGAGCTGCGAGCTGCACCCACGACACCTTCTATGGCTGCACCATGGTGGGATTTGAAGCCCCGCTGCTCGCTGCTCGTGCTCGTTTTCCTCCAGCGACTCTCGCCTGCAGTTCGGGGCCCGGGGCAGCTAGACATGTGCAGACGTGGGGACGGCAAAAGGCAGCAGTGGTCTATGTGTGTTGTCTCTTCGGCTCCATCCTCCTGCCTCCTCGTATCCTTGCTCTCAACCTCCTTCGTCTCAACTATCCCGATCCTCCCTTCTCCACTTCCTCATCATTTTTATCCTTCTGGGTGTAATTCACGATCGTAGTCGTCCGTCTCGTCGCTGCGCTGCTGTGGTAGTCGAGAGTCGAGGTGCCGGTCCTGCTCACTGGGCGCAGCACGTTACCCATAGCTTGCGCGCAAGGACCTGGCACGCGGCACGCGGTTTGAGGGTGACGAGAACAAGGATTGGCAATAAACCGGTGGAGGAGGGAGGTGAGTTTGGACAAAGATGACGCGTAGAAGGAGGACGCAGATGCGGATGTGGGCGGTGAGAAGGACGCAGGGGGAGGGATGGGGGGTCAAGATGAGGAGAAGGGCGAGGAGAAGGAGGAGGAGGAGGAGGAGGAGGCAGAGGAGGCAGAGGAGGAGGAGGAGGAGCAGGAGGAGGAGGAGGAGGAGGAGGAGAAGGAGGGGGAGGAGAAGGGGCTCATAAGAGCGAGGGGGTGAGGGATCAGGGGGAGAGGAGGAAACAGGAGGGGTGCATGGGGGATGGGTGCGGCCTGCCGGAGGGGAGAGGGCGGGGGGGGCCAGGGGGGGGAGGGAGGCGAGTGCTCCTTTCTTTTTCCCCCCCCAGCGCGTCCGCTTGCACTTCGGGGGCTCGTCCTCGGGCACCCTGCTTGGCATCGCTCGGACGCGTGCGTTTTTTTTTCCCGGCGAGAACCATCGAGGACCATCCTGGACCATCGAGCCAACAACAAAAACACGCACGACACCGAAACACACGCGGGACCTGGACGTCCGAGCGACGGCACGTCTGTGGGCACCGCCCGGGTGGTGCCCGGGGCCTCGTCCTCCGCGCCCCCGGTGGCGGTGCCCGCCCGCGGGGCCCCCGTCGTGCTCTCGGGGTGGGCGTGCCGAGGGGGGGCACCGCCCGTGGGCCCAGGCCGAGGCCGCCCCGCGGGCGCCTCGCTCGCTGGGCGGCTGTGCGGAGGCGTCGCTCTCGGAGCAGCAGCGCGCTCCCCCCCTCGCCCCCCCTTACCAGCCTGGAACCTATCCCTGTCCCTATGCTGGGCACCTCCTCATCACGATGCCAATCTTAGGGATTCCCTTATTTTTTGAGGGCGAATCCCTAAGATTGTCATCGCCTTTGGCGTGTCAATCTTAGGGATAGGGATACGTTCGAGGCTGGTACCCCCCCGCGTGCTGCTGCTCCGGGCGTTCCCCCGCAGCAGAGGACGGATGAGGCAGAGGAGGCGGTGAGGCGCGGTGGGGCATGATCGGGGGGGCATTGGAGGGAGGGGAGGGAGAGGAGGAGGACATGATTGGGGGGAGGGAGGTGAGGACGACGAAGAAGGGCAGGGTAACGTGTTGAAGGAGGAGGAGGAGGATGAGGATGAGGAGGAGGAGGAGGAGGAGGAGGAGGAGGAGGAGGAGGAGGAGGAGGAAGGAAGAGGAGGAGCGAGGAGGGAGGAGGGAGGGAGGAAGAGAGTGGAAGGGGGAGGAGGAGGAGAAGGAGGAGGAGGAGGAGGAGGAGGAGGAAGAGGAGGAGGAGGAGGAGGAGGAGGAGGAGGAGACAGATGAGGAATTCTATGCTGTGCAGGGGGGGGGGTCACTAGCATGGCGAGGAGGACTAGAAGGAGGGGGAGCAGGAGGAAGATGTGGGTTGTTGAGAATGGAGGAGTAGGATGGAGCAGGATGAAGAAAGATGAAGAGCAACGAGGAGAAGCAGGACGAACGAGTTGAAATCAATATAATGCAGGCAGCACGTCTTCATGAAACAGTGCGAAGGTTGGCAGTCGAAGGGAATTGCCGGGGGGAAGCGTGAGGAGCGGATATGGGCACGACCGAGTGCTGCTTCCCTGGTCGGGGAGGTCATGTTGTTTCTCTTCAACGTGTTCTTCCCGATGTACCCAGCAGACGGCTCAAAATTGATGGTCGGGAGTGTCATTACCTTCCATCCGGCTGCTGCATCCCTAGATCCACCGTGACGCATTGCATGATGCACTTACGGACGCTCGCAGAGCAGTTCCGACGAATCTATACATACATATATACTTACATCTGTGTGTAGCACTATCAAGAGATGGAGAGATATTGAGAGAGGTTGAGAGAGGGGGAAAGAGAGAGAGAGAGAGAGAACACTACTCATATTTTGCTGTGGACCATTGCCAGTCAAGCTTTCGAAGAGATTGCCGAGCAGGTGAGAAATACGAATTATATGATGATGACGGTACCGACTGTGCTTTTCTTGTCCAGGCACTTCTCTCAGCTTGGGTTTGCCTTGGGGGGGTTGCCTTGTCTCAGCCTGCCCAGGGCTTCACAGCTAGTTGCCGTGAGGGCCGCCAGGCCAAACAGAGCGACTTCTCACTCCGTGCGCAAGTCGCGAGCCCACATAATGTGAAGACGCCTTTGTTTCAGGCGGCGTCGCTGTCATGCACCCCGTGCCCGTGAACGAAAGCTGGAGGAAGTCAACGTCGAGGGGGGACGGGGTCGGTCAACAGCAAAGGTCATCGTCGATTTGTGCTTTGCCGACCTGCGAACCCACCACTGGTCGCGCTCGAGCCCGCCTTTTGCGCTCGGGCGTGGCATGCGCAGATTGCGCGCGAGTCGCACAGTGCGATCGAACCGTGCGGAAAAACACGCGAGCTGTGGGACGCACCAGCTTGTTGCAGGCTGCTCACCTCCATTGGTCATTGGCCACTGGCTCGAAATTGTGGCCGGAAGCGTCAAGAACGATCACAACCTTGCACCAGCGGACCATCCGCGGGAGCTGAACGCGATGTACACTGTGCTTGGATTCTTTGGGTAACTCGGCACGCTCCAAAATTATGAAAGCGCTGCGTCGCAAAATGCGGCAAGCCAAGTTTTCAAACTCAACGACTCGACGAACCACATCGGCCAGGACCTGAGCGCACGCCGACCGCGCCGTGGTCAAAGCAATTGCGATCGCACTGATGAGCAGATGATGAGGGTTCAGAGACGCCGCAAGACGAGCAAACTTCGCATCATCATCGGCACAATTTGGCGTGTAAACTACATCGAACAACCCAGACCGCAAACCTAGCGTTTGCCAGAGCTCCCACCACAAATTAGCACTCTGCAGCTGGAGGGTGTGGTGAGGTCCCTTCTGGAAAGTTCTCTTGTGATTGATGTACTCAGTGATCACCGTCACGTTCTGACCACGTGCCACGCGATGCACCACCTCCACCATGGCAACCAGCTCAGCGCGCGGCACCGCCTGGCGTTGACTGTCCAGGACTCCGTGCGCCTCGCAGTCCCAATCAGAATTCGGATCAATGCTCAGGCGCGCGAACCCAGCAGTTACCCGTTTCACGCGCCGCCGCCAGTTGGAAGACAGAGCCAACCATTGAGAATGAGACCGCGGCGCCAAGATATAGGGTGGTCATCAATTTCGTCAAGGGCCTGTTGGGGAAGCTCATTGCTCTTGGGAGCGCGTTCACAAGACGGCGTGGCGTGACAAGAGCAGCCCCCCCAAAGCATGACTAGACGAGTCGGCACGTGTTCGACACTGCTGGCACGGAGGATCAGGAGCAATCTTAGCAGGGTGTTGGTGCTCCTCTGGCCAGTGACCGCCGCAAGCAACCAACCCAAGCATACGGGGCAGCGCCAAGTCACCATCCTTCGCGACGTGCCGAGCGAGCCTCGCCACGTGCGTCTGCTCGACGCCCGTCTCCGCGCCTCCTCCGCCATGGAAAGACGCGGCTGCACGCCAGTGCGCAGCGTGAAGACGGGCACCGACGGCCTCGAGGAGAGCCGTCGCAAGACCCTCTCCCGAGCCCACCACCCGCCAGACTTCCGCGGTTGGGCCCGTGCACCTCAGTCGGCGAATGTATTTCGGTGGCGGAAAAGAGGGGGGTGATGACTAGGGGGGGGTGAATATGATGGCGTGGGCCATGATATTTCCCCAGATTTCATGGCGCCTCTTCTTATTTCATTACGTTCCTGGCCCCGCCGCTTGGCCGCGCACATGCCGCCGGTCATGATTTGCACCCCCCCGCGACTCCTCCTGGGACTGCCGGGCACGGTCAAGCGAGAGGATCCCCATCCAGCCAGTCGGTTGTACCACGGGCTGGCGACTCTCCGCGCGTGGACCCGGGCAGGGTCGCACCCAGGGCCACGCGCAAGACGGAGGGCCGTGGTGCAGCATGTACCTTTCTGGGTGGAACGGGTGGACGCACGAGCCATGGCTTTAAGTCGGGCCTGCCATAGCTTTAAGTCGGGCCTGTTCCTTCTACAGGAAGAATGCTCGAAAATAGTAAAACAATAGTCTGGGGACGACTTTTTGAGTATTGTTTGACTACTTGTGTTTATTTGTGGAGTATTTTTTATTTTCGCCCAAAATCCGCCCGTAGGGGGACAGGCCTGACCTAACCATAGCTCGCAACCGCTGAATCATTTGCGGTGCCATACCATACACCTCAGACGCCCAGCAACTCTTCGGATAAGCACTATCATCACGCATTTCCGTTTTTCGCGTTTACCCAGCCAGACATGATTACGCATTTCTTTTTCAGTTTTTCAATGAGCATGCCCGTGGGTCTCTTATAGCCCCGTGAGTGGAAGCGGATTTGTTGCTTTGGAGGTGTCAGTGGTGTGTGGCTTCGTTTGTCGCTGAAAACATGTGCGCGGAGAAGCTTGCACGCATCCCAGTTCGAAGATGAGAGGCGATTGTCTTTTTGCCGACGCCTTGCTGCCAGCGTGCATGCGAGCGCGCCGGATCAGCACGGCCCGTCTAGCG